CAAGGGCACGTGGAAAGCCTAATGTAGCAGTACAGAAAGAAATGGAATACAGTGTGATTTTAGTTAGCATGTCTTTTTTTCATTTATGATGTAAGAATATTTTTATTCAGTATTTTTAATGCTACTTTAGAAGCTGTCCCTGGATTTTTTTCCCCCATCAATGATGAAAGATAACAACATTAGGCAGGTATATTGAGGAGGCAATATTCCCTAAATGCTGCCCTTTCTTCTTGGATTCTTCTGTGACTTTTCATGGTGGCATGGGACCTGTCACCTGAAGATGGCTTGGTTGTCTTTTTTCTCTTTGCTTCTTCACAGTTTTAAAATGCCTTTTTTTTGGGGGGGGGAGGACTATAAATAGTAAATATTTAGCAACTTGGATTAGTATTTCTCTATTTTTTCTTATCCCATTATGTAGCATATTTGCTAAATTCTGAGAATCCTCACTGCCAGCGTTATCCAGGGAAAATGTGTGCTGGGGAGTATGGAGACAGGCTCTACTGTCGGTGAACCTTAACTCCTCTAAGTGTGTTAATCATGGTCTCAGCCAAATTGTGCTGCTCTTTTTATGTTAAGATCACAAGCCCTAAAGTCAGACTCACCTTATGTAAATGTCAGTTGTCACCTCGAGGGGATACATAGAAAGATATTTATGTAGCAGCTACTTTGCACATGTACCTAAGCAGTGTTCCCCCTGTTGTGGGATGGTTGCTGCAGGATGAGTTGTTGATCTGTTGTTGTTCTCACATCTTAAGATGTGTCACTGTCTTCATGGTATCAAAAGGAAAACTTGAGACGATGTGACTTTAGCAGAGCTTATTTGAGCAAAGAAATATTTGACGAGCCAGGCATGGTGCTGTGTGCCCATAATTCAACCACTTGGGAGACTGAGGCAGAGGGCTTGCGAGGTCAAGGCCAGCCTGGGCAACATAGCCAGACCCCACCTCAAGGAAAAGAAAAATAGAAGAGAAAAGAGAGATGTCTCCTGAGTCCACCAGCAGTCCAGACATAAAATGGCTTAGTAGACACCAGCTCACCACATACACAGGCTTTATCTATCACCAGAGAAGAGGAAATGACACACAGAAGTGACCTGCTTGGCTGCAGTTGGGGTTTGCCTTATATGGTCAAATCTCGCAGCTTTTAGCCTCTGATTGGCTTTTGGTTCAGCTGCTATGGCACTTGGAACGTTGTTGTAAGAGTGTACTTTCAGGACTAGTTATGCATCAGATTAGGCTACAGTTCACAACATATGGAGAAACCTTTAGGGCAAACATGAAATATATATGGAGACAGCTTCAGCAAAACAATTCAAATTTAATTTAACAGTGGAAATGAATTCTTTTAGAAAAGCTGCTGTTAATTCCAATATTTTTTATGCAATCAACTTCACTAAAGCCAATTTTATGTACTAGATTTTGTTTCTGTGGTTCCCAATATCATGTACTCAGCCTAACAAATCACCAGGGGAGACCCCAGGCTACCTCTTACATCTAGCTAATTGACAGTAGTTGACATTTTGCCAGGTTATTGCAATATAATTAATTCTGTATGCCTTTCCCCCACCTTTAGTGAACTTAACAACTTGCTCGCAAAGAAACAAGTACATATAAATACACAATTCAGAATCTTCTAATGATATATTCGAGGTATAGCATTCCTTTTTTCATAACATATCCCAATGCATGATAGAAAACATGTTGAAAATTAACAGACCAATAAACATTTTTCTTAGAGAAAATATGCACAACATCTGAAAGGGAAATGAGTACAGATTTGAAGGGCACAGAAGTAACCCAAGGCACACAGAGTACTTTAGTCAGATTTTTCACGGCTGTAACTAAAAGGACCCAACCAGAACAACTGTAGAGGAGGAAAGGATTATTTAGGGGCTCTTGGTTTCACAGGTCTCAGTCCATAGATAGCAGGCTCCATTCCTTGGGCTTGAAGTGAGGCAGATCATCAGGGTAGAAGAGTGTGGTGGAGGGAAGCAGCTCACATGGTGATCAGGAAGCAGAGAGAGAGACTCCTCTCTCTAGATACAAAATATATACCCACAGCCATGCTTCCAAGGCCCACCTCCTCCAGCCACACCGTACCCACCTTTAGTTACCACTCAGTTAATCCCTCTCTGGGGACTAATTCACTGATTAGATTAAGACTCTTACAACCCACTCATTTCTCCTCTGAACCTTCTTGCATTGTCTCCCACGTGAGCTTTTGGAGGACACCTCACATCCACGCCATAGCATTCTTCTCCTGGCCTCCAAAAGCTCACACTCATCTGACAATGCAAAATATATTTAGTCTCTTCCCAAGAGTATCCATAGCCTCCGCAGTTCCTAGATTGCTCAAAGTTCAAGTCCAAAGTCTTCTCTGAAGCTCAAGGCAATCTCGCATCATGAGCTCGCGTAAAATTAAAAGCAATTTACAAGTGTCCAGTATATAAAAGTACAGAATAAACATTTCACAAAAATAGGGGCATAGAGAAAAGGGATGGGGCCAAAGCAAGACTGAAATCCTGCTGTTCAAGCAAGTCCTCTAGTTCTGTTTTGGCATCTGGAGCACATGGCATGATGCCCTCTCCAAAGGGCTTGTGTAGCTTTGGCCCTGTGGCCCTGTTGGTTGCAGCCCAAGTGGCCTCTCTGTTGGCTTGTCTCTGTGCAATTCCTGCAGCTTTCCTAGGATGATGTGCCACGTTATTGGCATTTCTTAATCTCGGGAGTCTCCACTGCAGCTTTGGCTACCTCACATCTCCACAGCTTGCCTTCTCAGGGAATGGCTGCAGGGAATCCAACACGGCTGCACTTTGCCTGGCTTCCAAGGCCTTCCTTTGAAATCTTGGTGGAAGCCTCCATGATCCCCTAACTCCAAAGTCCACAGTCCTGAAGAACCAGTATCATGTAGTTGACACCAAGCTCTGCCCCCATCTTGATCAATAGCTGTGCTTCTGGGGACCTTGGCTGCAGCAGCCTCCGATTGTCTGGGTAGCTGAGCATGTTGAAAAAACTTCCTAGGCCCCCTTATTCAAGGATTTCACACTGGTCTCTTCTCAAGAGAATTTCCACTTTTATTCCCTTGAGCCTGAGATGGGTGTGGTCTTGCCAGCTCCTGAGATGCCTTATTGTCTCTGGGAAAAGTCTTTAGCATTTATTTAGTGGCAGTAATGTCATTAACAACTGTGGCTTCCTTGGCCCCAGTTTTACTCCTGCCTTTCAATTGAAGTTTTTCAAATATTTCTGCTCTGCTTTCTGCTCCTGAATATCATAATAAATTTGGCTAAAAGCAATATCTGTGCCACTGCCTGAAAGCTATGCTGCTTAGAAATTTCTTCCACCAGATCAACAAGTTCATTGCTTTTAAAATGAGCCTCACAGAAAGACTCAGGACTTGAGCAAAATGCAGGCAGCTTCTCAGCTGGAACATAGCACAAATGATCTCTAGTACAATTACCAGTAGTGTCTTCCTTTTCTTCTAAACCCTCTTGAGTCCTGTCTTTACTGTCCAGAGTCCTATGGCATTCTGGTCTTCTGAGCTCCTACAAGAATCAGCCATTAAGCTCCACTTACAATAACAAAGCATTTTCAGCTTGCACTGCTAAACATCTCAAAATTCCTCCCACCAATTCCCCAAAGCTCAAAATTCTCATGAACCACATGTTCAGTTTAGTCACAGCAGTGACCCCACTTCTTGGTACCAATTTCTGTATTAGTCAGCATTTTCACTGCTGTGATGAAAGGATATGACCAGAACAATTGCAGAGGAGGAAAGGTTTATTTAGGGGCTCATGGTTCCAGAGGTCTCAGTCCACAGCAGGCTCTATTCCTTAGGGCTCAGGATAAGGCAGGACATCATGGCAGAAGAGTGTGGCAGAGGGAACCAGCTCACATGATGATCAGAAAACAGAGAGAGAGGTCTCCATTTACCAGATACAATTATATACCCCAAAGCCGCACTCCCAACTCCCATATCCTCCAGCCACACCTACCCCTTCAGTTACCATTAAGTTAACCCCTACTAGGGGATTAATCACTGATTGGGTTAAGACCCTCACAACCCAATCACTTCTCCTACAAACGTCTTGTATTGTCTCACATATGAGCTGTTGGGAGAGATCTCTTCTCCAAACTGTAAGACATGAGATAAGAACCATCCAAGGTGGAAGTATTTCCAGGGTCTCTTCAAGCTTGGAGGAGGTAGACACCAGGAGCAGGAGGGACCAAAGGGTCCCTGTACTCAGATAGTAAATAATCTGGATGAAACAGCCCTTAATCCCTAGTGATTATTTTAGGCCAGATCATAAGTAATAGAGGATTATCTCAGGGTGAGTGACAGGGGTCCTTGGGCTGAAAAGGCAGGGCCATTCCCTGAGAAGCCAAAGATGCCAGGCAAAGGCGGGAGCACACACCTGTAGACAGAGATCCCCCTGAAGAGGTCGGCACAGTGAGGTTTCCAGTTCGTTGCTGCAGATTTGCTTTTCACAGACCCTGGCTTCCTGCAGGTAACTCTGACCTGAGCACCTGGCATACAGTCCACCTATCTTGTCCCCCACAGGTTCTGTGCAGGGAGGGGCACCGTGAGAACTTCTAACCACAGTCAAGTTTGGGCATGGAATTAATGCTGCCCGTGTGGCTGTGTCCCTAAAGGCCACAAACATCAAGTGCAGATTCCAGTTGTCTTGGGTTAGTGGTGCACCCTGACCCCTGGTTGAACACGAAGATGTGCAATGTGAGGGAATTTCAGGGCTGAGGGACCAGTTCTGTATCTTCATTATGGTGGAGAGCCCACAGGGCTGTATGCCTTTGTCAAGGGACTTTGAAAATGAATTAAATCAACTCTCAGGAATGTCACTGTGTGCATCATACTCCAACAGAAATATTAAGAAGTTAAAAACGTAAGAGGGATGATCGTCCTGTATCCTAATGTTTTTTGAGCTCCTGTTTCTTCACTCCATTTCGCCTGCATATTTATTAACCCTAATGTGGCTTCCTCCCTGGCAGGCGACTGTGACGCTCCGCTGGGATCCGCCTTGCCTCCGTCCTCCTTCAGCAGCTCCGCAGAGCTGTCCAGCAGCCACGGCCCTGGGTTCGCCAGGCTTAATCGGAGAGACGGTGAGTCTGCTTCTTCCTTCTTGCTGATCCTCGGTGAATCTGATTGGGTTTTCACTTAATAAAATAATTGCAATTGATTGATGCTTTATAGAAGGAAATAAAATTCCAAATAAGCACGTTTGCTCTCATTGGACTCCGAGGATTTATTTTGCAAGAATCAACTGGCCCCTGGGCAGCTGGTGTGGCTGAACCTCTGGGTCCAATCTTCACAGCTTTGGAACAAATCACACACACCTGGCTTTGACAGTGTTTGATCTTCTGGTAAAATCATTTCAGTATTTAAGTGTGTGCTGAAGGCTTTAGCATCTGCTGTGTCCTGTTATCTATCCTGAGTTGTTTCTTTCCTCCTTTCTTGTGTACATTGCTCCAGATTGCTTAATTAGCCCTATTTAGATTGAAAAAAAATGGCAGATTAAAGAAGCATTTTCAAAAGATTTTTATTGTTTTAACTAGAACTCCCAGTTTGCTTCTCATAATGGCCCTCTGGATTTTCTCTTTGGCATTCACTGAGGAGAAAGAGCATTTAATGGTTTATTCGTGTTCCATTGTAAATTTCCGTTGCTACCTACAGACATTTCTTGAGAGGAGCATGTTTTCCGTTACATGGGTTTAAACAGAAGTGTAGGGAACTGAGTGCTAACTTGCCGTGTGGTACAGTTTGGGTAAGTGTTCTCCAAAGACCCATGACTTGGTCCCTTGGTGACCCCACTGGGAGGTGTGGCACCTTTAAGTGATAGGACATAGCGGGTAGAAGTGAGGTCATTGGAGGTATGACCTCAAAGGAGTTATTGGGACCCCTAGCTCCTTTTTGTTTCTCTTAGCTTCCTGGTCCACATGAAGTGAGGATTTCTCCACCATGTGCTCCCACCATGTTTTGTTACCTCACCACAGTCCAAAGGCAGTGGGGCCAGGTTGACCATGGACTGAATTCTCTGAAATTGTGAGCCAAACATTTCCTCTTTTTAAGTTGATTATTTCAGGTACTCTGTTATAGTAATGGAAAGCTGACTTATACACTATATCAAAATAGGAACTTAAGAAACCTTATACATAGTGATGAGGCACCATCTGGCATTTTAAAGCAAAAACTAAGGTAAACATTCTTTGAATAAATTCTCAGTAAATTGAATTCACAGTTTTGACAAAAAATATTTGTAGGCATATATGAAAAGACTCAAAAAGTGCACTATAAATACCTTGTGTCCTTATTTCCTTATTGCCTTCTTTCTTGTTATTTGTTCTTACTGTTTTTTTTTAACTTCTTGCTGCTTTCCTTGGTGTTTTCAATATCTGAGCACATTTAGTAAGTTGCACTTTGGACCAAATTAATGTATTATTTCCTTTGTTATGGACAATATGGTTATCAGAATGAATGAACTCACTTCATTTTGCTGAAATGCACTTATATGAACACAGTTGCAAATATGCAAATAGAATGCATGAATTCTAAACTAATACATAAACAAATACATTGGCTGAAATACAATGAAGTCTGCTATTTCATTCATTTGCGAAGATCTGGTTCTTTTACTCCAGATGATGTTCCTGTAGAGCCTAAGTGAATGTGGCCATCGCTGGAGTAGTGATTGATACTGGGCACAAGGGATAAAAGAAAACAAAGGTCATCTCAAGCCGTAGCTCTTTTTAATGGCAAATCACATTTTATGTTAGGATAGGACTGCGAGGATTCTCCATCATCATTTTTATTCTTAGTTCATGTTCCTGCAACTCGTATAGTGCAAGGGCATACTATCAATCTTAATAAAATTTATTTTCATGTGAATGAAAGAAAAATGGTTCCATTTTATCATTTTAATTAACTACCAGCTGAGGTGTTTATAAATTCATTGTTGTGATTGTTGTGGGTTTTTATTTTTGTTGTTGTTGTTTGTTTTGACTTTTCCTCCTCCCTATAAGAAATTCCAAATTGTGAGTGATATATGGAAGGCTGTCGATTATCTCTGGTGTTTTAAGATCCTTTATTAGATTTAGAGTGATTTATGAAGAGCAACTAAACCAGTCTCCTGATCATAAAGAGTTAAAGCAAAATACAATTGACTCCGGGTCACAGATATTACAGCCTTTCTCCAGAGGAGTGCAGAGATCTCAGAGCCACAATTCAACAGCCAGGAAACAAATGCTCTTCAGTCAGACAGCCCAGTACTTGGAACCTCTAGGATGGGAAAATTCCATGAACACAGCTGTGGTCATTGTGAAAACCCTGATGTGAGGGATGAGAGAGGAAGAAGGTGACTGAGTAGTCAGTGAATTACATCTGACCCTGTTTAATTCTGTCTGACCCTCCAAAGATTGCTTTTTTGGAAGTGTCTTCATTTATGCTTCTTGGAAAGTAATAAACTAAACTAGTTCTTCTGTTTCACTAAATGAAGAACCCCTGAGCCACAGAATTAATATACTTATCAAACCAAGTTATTCTCTGCCCCCCCACCTTTTTTTTTTAATGGGGAAACACTCAATTTTACATCAAACATTTCAAAAAACTATGAAACATAATCCAAAGTTACTTTCCACTTATAAAAATTCAGTACCATACTGGTCAGATTAGAATATAATTAATCAAATATGTTTTTGCTTTCTAGATTTTCATAGTTGAAATTTTAATATGCTTGAATTTTAGCGTGTTAATGAATACAATGAACACAGTTTTTTTTAAATTGACATGTAATGACTTTACAGATTTCTGTGGGACAATGTGATAATCCAATACATATAAACAATTTTTAATGGTTAAATCAGGATAATTAATATTTCCATCCCCTTAAACATATATCATTTCTTGGAGCTGGACTCTTCAAACTCCTCTTTTTTAATTCTTTGTAAATCACATAGTAAATTGTTCTAAACTAGAGACCAACTACTGAAGATGCACATTTTAAAAACCCAGATCTGTGCTATTATTGCAGCAGGCCCAGTGGTAGCACTTACAGGTTGACGTGGGGTCTCAGAGAAGGAGCTAATGATCACGTGTGCCTGGGACCGACAGACCCTCGAAGTGACAGCACAAGGTGCCTTAATGAAATATTTCCCCCTGCACTAGGGGAATCTGAAAATGCATTTTTGTAACCTATAATTATGCATTTGAAACAAGGAGAATTTGAAGAAGTAGAAAGAATTAGAGTTTGGAGTACAATAACAGCACATCATTGCTCCCAGAAGCGACAAATGCTCTTTTTTAAACCTCTTCCATCTGCTCCAAAGTTTCCATCTATTGCTAAAAGAGGCAATATTGTGACTTCTTGCTGACGCCTCTTGTTTTTATTTTCCACTACTGAATCTTTGCATGGCCTGGAATCCCTTTTAATGTTAAGATGACTCTCTGCTACAAATGACAAGTAGAAAGTTAGCTAAGATCTATTATTGATGAAGAGGACTTCAGGGCTCAGGGTTAGGGCATGTCCCTAGCATGCTCACAGCCTTGGGTTCAGTTCCCAGCACCCAAAAAAGAAAAAAAAAAACAGAAATAAAATGATTCTGATTCTTGAATAAACCACAAAAAGGGCTAATTTTAAAATTTAGTGAATATTTTTTTGGGAAGTGTTTTAGTGTCCTAAAATAACCCACTCTTGGAGGCGGGGTGTGTACCAGGGATTGAACTCAGGGGCACTCAACCACTGAGCCACATCCTCAGCCCCAATTTGTATTTTATTTAGAGACAGGTGCCTCAGTCCAGCTGCAGCAAAATAACCGGGGGGTGATGAGCAACTTGTGTACATTGATACAGCAGGAGTGGGAGCCCTTTATTGTAGGACCAGAGGGGTATATATACATTCCACACAGCTTATCTTAATTAACATAAACTAGATACAGCAGTCAACCAATAAGGAATCTCCACACTTAATGGCTCGCTGGCGTTACTTCACAAACCACTCCCTCTGGCAAAATGCCAGGCGCCATCCTGACTTGTTTACAGACCCTAACAGACAGGGTCTCACTGAGCTGCTTAGTGCCTCACCATTGCTAAGGCTGGCTTTGAACTAGCGATCCTCCTTTCTCAGCCTCCTGAACTGCTGGGATTACAGCGTGCATCACCATGCCCACCTAACCCACTGTTCTGTGACCTCAGTGTGTAATGGTCACATCTCACATGCTTCTGATGATGGCATGGTGCCTTTGGGTCAGGTCCTAAGAAGTAGAGGACTAATGGATTTTTCTTGATAAATATTTTCTGCAGCTTAATCTATGTTGTAAAAATATTCAAAAAATCAGTCCTTATATATTTAGCTACCTGGTAGTTTCCCATTACTGGAGAGTGCTTTTAAATAATTAGGAAAAATATACAGAATTGTGATAATTATAACAAAGTTGACATCAATTAATTGCCAAAAAAGGGGGGGTAACAAGAGCTGATTCCTTGTGCTTCAGGGGAGATTTCAAAGTTTGGTGCTAGACTTTTGTTGGAGTGAGCCCGGGAGAGAGGTTACCTGTCCCCACAAGAAGCCCCATGTGCTGTGAGCATGTGCTGTGGGTCATTGGGGGCTGAGGAGGGGTCCGTCCTAAGGGGGGACAAGTCAGGAAGCTCCAGCAGGCTAGGGTGACCTTCTGTGCCACAGATGAAGTGACAAGGAGGACGGGGACTTAACTCAAGGCCTATACGGGTGCCTGCAGCTCGGCCTCAGCTCTGCAGGGAGCTCTTGCTATAGAGGTCCACAGAGCTCTTCTGCAGCTTGAACCCCCGATACACTCATAGCATAAGGTGACCCATGTCTGCAAATGCTCTCTGGCTCCACCACCCTCATGCCCAACCACAATGAGCTCCTGAGAACTCTCGGGCCAGTGTCACATGGATGTCCAGTGCATGGCCAGTCCCTGCGCAAGGCCCCGTTGACTCCTGTCTCTGTACTGGACGGAAGGAAGAGCAGCACACCTGGGTACAGGGCCCAGCTCCCTCATGGCATCCTCCTAATCCTTTCCAATCGTCATGGACCTCTGGGTTTCCCAGGTCTACATCTGTGGGCCTTCAGAGGTACCCACCTCACTTT